GTTCTCTCTCTTTTTGTACGAATCTCTCTCATCTCCCTCTTTTTTCATGGCTCTTTCTCTCTCTCTTTCTCTTTGCTAATCTCTCTCTCTCCCCCCTTCGTGGCTCTCTCTCTTTTTGATTCTCTCTCTTCCTATGGCTGCCTTTCTCTCCTTTATTCTCTCTTTTTCTTCTTTCCTGATTAAATAAAGGCTAGGTTCTTTTAGGGGGATTGAAAAGGGGGATTATATATGGCTTTTTTGGTATTTTGGGTCATTAGATCTCAAGATCAATTTTTAACTATCTAATTTTTAAGGTGTTATAGCTTTTACAACTTAGGACTAGATGAGAACTCAGTGATATAATATCACTAAGGCTCATCTGCAAAACTTATCTCTGACTTAATCCAAAATGAAACTTTTGATATATGACATTATTGGGTAAGACACACCTCACTGTCTAAGTCATATTTTCTCATGCATGTTTTGAAAAGTATGAAATATGGATATTGACATGTATGTCCACCAACCAAAATGCATAGGCCTTAGTTTTCTATTATCCAGTACAAATTTGTACATTGTTTTGACGTGATAAGTTATGATATTTGGGGACCCTGCAATGAAATTTCCTATGATGGATAATTGTTATTTTCTTTATATGACATCCCATATGCTAATTAAGGCAAATGAATATCAAATACATATTTAGAATAACGAGTGCATGAGAAAATTTTATCCAGGAGAACAATTAATATAAATTCATTACAAATATATATATATATATATATATATATGAGTTTCAATTACATACATATAACTACGGCCTGAAGTGGGTATAAAATACAAAAAAACAAAACACAAAAGAATGTCACTTCTTTCACTAGACTATTGGACTCATCAGAGTGCAGAAACAATCATACACTCAAATTTTGTGGATCCACAGGATCCTCATAAACTTCTAAGGGTAGGTCAGCCTGCAGTTCCTCATTTTATTTCTCATCTGGAGGAGGCATAGAAAGAGTGAGTTCTATATGCTCAGTAAGAAAAATAGTATTAAATTACCATCGTAAGATTTTAAAGGTGAATAATTTTAACTTAAAAGCTTACCATTTGGCCATCTCGTATACCGATCTTACGTTATGAAGATAATTTATTTATTACGAAAACAGTACATTAATATGAACAAATCAAACATACATCATGCCAAATAATAGAGAAAATCAAATAAACATGAAATGCTCATATTTTCGTGTCATGCTTCGTAAAGTCATTACAACTTCCATCTCTAAAGGCAGATATAGATTTCCAACGACCCAAGTGGAATAATTAGATCAGATACAGATACGATAATTTTTTCAGGCCTATTTTCGGCTAACCAAATGATGGTACGATTTACGTCCACAGCTGTACCAACCATAGTGGCCATATCAGATATCTACAGACACGACAGTACTTCGCTAAGGGTGACCCCTAATAAATATTCGCGTTACCATTTTTTGTCAGGGAGTACGTCGTCATCCACTGAGAGTGGTTCTCTTACATCTTTTCAAACTAAGAGGGGGAGGAAAAAACAGATACCCCGAAGGGCTAGGAGAACAGATACCCCTCAGAGATAAAAAGCCTAACGAGACACTTGATGCAATATGCATGTCAACACAAATATATATTTCGAACCATTCATGCTTTATTCCATTTGTTTTCTTTTTATTCTTTATTTTTACCAGGCAATAATACCAACTTCATATTATATTTTATTACATACAAATTATCAAGTGTCTATAATTCACATAGCATACTTGAAAACAAGAACAATTCGACTTATCTGAACTATAAATGCAAAGGCGTATAAGTAGGTAAAATCACAATCATCATATTTAATAATTTTATCTTATCTAATAATATCCCTTAAGACATCGAAAAAAATACTAAATTTCTTACCAAAACCTTGATATTTTTTCCTTCACCGTTCTTCTTTTCTTTTCCTCCTTCTCTTACTAGATTACTCTCTCTTTCCTTTTCTCTCTCTAAGTCTAGAAAGATGGAAGAATGGAAGTGCGGGGAAGAATGGGATGAGAAGACCTATTTATAGAATTTTAAAACTATCAAATTTGTGCCGAGTGGTGAAATCTGATGAAGAGAGAGGAGAAAAAGATGTTCGACATGAAAAACGAGGGAGGAGGGCCTCCTCCACCAGCGGCGGTGGCATGCCGCTCGAGACGACGACAATGCACTACCCGAGGTGGTAGTGCCCCGATCGGCGCGTTACAGGCTAGCTTGTAGGCGCACAGCCCTCTTGCCGCGCGCTCAGGGCTTATCCACACAGGCCTACTACACGAATAGCGTGCGCACAGTGTGTCGTGCCTGTTCGCGCACGAGGTGACGCGTAGATGGCCTGCATGCACACGAAAACACACGCGTAAGACCTATCTTCGCGTCGTTCGCGTGGATGGGACGTGCGCATTGTGGGCACGTCCCATGTGTGCGTGCTTGCGGATGGGACATTCGCATTGTGTGCGAGTCCTGTGTATGTTGTGCGTGCGTGCGTGCGTGCTCGCACAATGCACGACATACGCATGGGTGGCTCTACTTCCCCTCGGGATTTCTTCCCGTTTCGCCATTTTTTCGATTTTTTCTAATTTTTTAAAATTAAATTAAATAAAATTAAATTAAAATTAAATAATAAAAATTAAAATTTAATAAAACTAAATAAAAATAAAATAATTAAAAATCAACCAGATTTACAAATTACGATAAATAAGACGTGGTATAATTTAAATGAGTTTAATGCGACCAAATACCCGATTAAATAGGATTTTATAAATTAATTAAGCACAACGATGGGTGTGGTGTTACACTTTATATCTGGACAACTTTAGTAAATGTATATGGGTATCTGCTTAGATCAAAATAAAAAATAGGTCACACTTTGAATAGTTTCTGCACTATTATAGAAACCTAGTTCAACACCAATGTCAAGATTATACACAGTGATAATGAGATAAAAGTTATGTGGAAACAACATAGCAAAATATAAAAATGGAGAAAAATCACCAATAAATACTGAATGTTGCTAAAGCACTCAAATTTCAAAGTGGCCTTGAGGTAAAGTATTGGAGTGACTTTATCCTTACAACAATTTACGTGGTAAAATGGATAATCTTCTCTGTTATTAATCATAAGACCTTTGAAAACTTTTTTAGAGATGATTGGACTATTCTCATTTAAGAGTATTTACGTGTTTGGCATTTGATTAAACTCTTACAGCCAACACACACAAGTTTAACCCAAGAGCAAGGAAACGTGTATTCTGGGTTACCCCTTTGGGATTAAGGAAGTTACTAGTTATAGAGATAAAAAAAGTCATTGTCTCAAGCGATGTGGTATTTCATAAGGACATTTTCCCTTAAAATATTCATACCAATAGCGCAGATCATAGCCATTTGAAAGACCTACAAAATACAAGGATTTTGGAGAATATAGATAAAATAATTGATTTTGAATTTATAGGACCAGATACTCAATGTCATCTTAATAATGACATGGAATTGAGGTCCTCATCTCCAACAAACTAGTCAGAAGAAGAAGTGATGGATGAAGCCATGGTGGAGGGAGGCTATAACATCGAGCACTCTAATTGCACAAATTCCTCATATTCAATAAGAAACTCGATGAAAAGTATAAGATATCATTCCTATCTAAAACACTTTGTGTGTGAATAAGCTTAAAGCTCATTCAACAACATAATCACCTCAAAAATATATATATATCATGAGAGGCAGAGTTGTATAGCCTCCACTATTTCCTGTAAGGCTATCAGCAAAAGACACAAGGTCTATATATTTGTTGTTGATTCACACAAAGAACTAGACACATCAAGAAGCTTGCAAAAACCTTGAATGGGTGGAAGTGATTAAAGAAGATATTAAAGCTTTAAATAGAATGAAACTTGGATCTTTACAAATTCGACATATAGAGATATGGTTATAGGGTATAAATTGGTGTATAATCTAAAGTTTAATGTTGATGTAATTGTTGAAAGATACAAAACAAGACTCACTGCCAAAAGGTTTACACAGAAAAAGAGTAGTATTAACATGACACATTTTCACCTATAATTAAAACCACTTCAGTTAGATTGCTCCTATCATTAGCATCCATTAAAGGATGACATCTCCATCAACTGGATGTCAACAATGTCTTCTTGTATGGTGATTTAGAAGATGAGGTTTAAATGGAACTTCCTCCAGATTATCTAAATAAAGATCGAAGAAAAGTATATAAGCTGTTGAAGATCATTTACAACTCAAGTAAGCCTCTAAGCAATGATATACAAAACTCTCAAGTTTTATCTTTAACATGGTTTCATACAATCAAAGGCATATTATTGTATGTTTGCACAGGCAAATGAAGAAGAATTCAATTGTTGCTTTTATACATGAATGGCAAAATCATTGTTGGAAACAATATTAGATTGATCAGTGGACTAAATTTTGAGATGAACATGAAATTTCAAATCAAGGACCTAAGAAATCTGAAATATTTTTAAATTTAAATGAAATCAAACATATAAATAACTACTTATTAATAAATTAATAAAATAAATCATCTAGGTCAATAATGTTCTTGGGTCCTAATCTTAAATGAAGATAACCATGATATTTTAAGATTAGGACCAAGAATATAACCAAAAAGAAAACCAGGATATTTTGAAGGCTAGGAGCTTAAGTATAATTAGAATGTTATTTGAAATAATTTTGTAAACTTGTTCAGACTCTCAAAGCCTCATCAATTGGTATTTTGAATAAAGGGATGTACAATAATATTTCTACAACCTTTTAATTGTTAATTGAATTATGTAAATATTATTCAATAATTGTGTGCTGACATTATTGCCCTGTTAAGTGTTGAGATGTCTCAATTTTAAACAAATATTGTTTTTAAAATTCACTTAATTCATAAATTGTAAATGTCTGTAAGTTGCAAATACCCGTATTATTTGCCCTTAGATAAGTATATAATATATATTTTTCATTACATATAAACATATTGTATTAACAAACATTATAAATCCTCTAGGGTTTTATTTCGATAATTTTTTTTCTTAATTATACTAAAAAGATGACTTTTCTTGAGAGAATTACATATACTGAGTAATTTTTTATTTTGGATTTAGTAATACATGTGTATATATGGATGGATAATGATGATCAGTTGAAGTTGACTGCATATTTAGGCTGCTTGTTTGGCGCGAAAAGTCCAAAGAACTTCTCAAATTCAGGATTCTTATGATTTTCATCAAACATGGCGAAAATATAAGTCTCGATCGGCCTTGCCCTCTTAGGCGTTCCTCGCTTCACATGCTGAATTAAATTGTTGTTGTAAGTTCTCGCATTGTCCATGCTCGTTGCTGTCCCGCCAGCCGATGGCCAACCACTCTCCGAAACCACAATCTCCAGGGAGCCTCCACCAATTTTCTCAAGCGCTGCTACTACAGAGTCATGAATTGCATCGAACAGATTCTGGTATTTCAACGGTGGGTCATAGACAACTACATCCGGGGCCGTGAAGAGCGCGTAATCAAGACGAATATCTCTCATGTTATTAATAAAACTGAAGTAAGGATAGAGATTAACTAGTAACGGCAACTGATTATTAACTAAGAAGCGAACAAGGGGGTCAAGAATTGGCCTAAAGTTGTCTTTAAACAAACCCTTTGATGGTGGATAAGAGACGGCGAGCGTTCCAGTGTCAATGGCGGAGGAGACTTTGATTCGGTTAATAAGGCCAGCATTTGCAAGTGCACGCTGAATATTCTCCATTGCAGGGACAAGGAACTGTGCGAAGAAATCAGAAGGCTGGACTTCATTGCCAACGGTGATATATCGGAAACGAACATCATAAAAGTTTCTGACGTTGGTTTGGATCCAAGCATCAGCGACAGCTTGACCAGAAGCGATTTGTTGAAGATCAGGATTGGGGAGACCGAGTATAACTTCAATATTTGAACCCCTCAAAGCTTGAAGGACCCCATGGTCAGGACTGTAGATTCTCATCCGACGAATGTTTCTCTGGTTGTAAAGAGCAACGACTTCTGATGGTGATGGAAGGTTGTTACCCATTCTTCCATAGCAGACACCTATCTCAGCAGCTGAAAAATCAAACTTATATAAAATCGCATGAAAATTTCTATAAATTTAATTTTATAACTTATTTCAGTTAAAATAAAATCAAAATAGATTGGAACATAATAATCTAATTTAAACCTATATTAAAAATAATAGTAATAATATCTACATGTTTATTTATTTATATTCTTTAAAAAATTACTCATAAAATTAAACATGAACGAAAGAAAGCTCGGAATAAACCTGATGTAGCCATGGCCAAATATTTGAGAGATGAGAAATTAAACAAGTGGAAGAGAAGGGATAAGATATAATTTCATGGTAATACCAACGGATATATATGTATATATATAGGTGCTACTTACAGGGCAAATTTATGCAAACTTGTCAAACTAAAACTCTTCCAAATTGCCTAATTTTTTTTCTAACCACATTCAAAGCACCGCAATCTATTCAATAAATTTAATATTAATATGTTTCTTTCTCTATAAGATTAAGGAAGTTTGAATCTAATTATATTCCAATATATTTTTATTTAAAAGTTGTATTAATTTCTGTTTACATATCACCTAATTTATAAAATGTTGTTAGTTCGAATCAAATAAATTTAATTCTTCTGTAGTATCATTTGCATATTGTATTATTTAATGTACTGTATTACATAATTAATAAATTCATGCATTTTAATTTTTTTTAAAAAAGCATGTACCAAAGCTATAATGTATTTATAAAAAGAAGTAAAAAGGTTGAAGAATTATTATTTAGGAAACGTAATCTACTGGCTCTTATCTGGTTCTAAGCTCCTAATGATATGCTAAATTAAATTTTATTTTTATCTTGTAGAAATAATATAAATTATATTATTTTTAAATCTGTGGACCCAATTGTAATTATATTAAGATCTTAAAAGTTTTTGTGTTATTTGTGATTTTTTTTATAAAAAAAATTATAAAATTACAAGAAAAATAGAACCCACAGTATTAGTACTGTTCTATAAAGTTTATTTTTTATTTTAAATAAAATAAAAATAGACCTCTATTATTAGTATTGTTATCAAATTAGTAACTTATAGCTCTTAAATTATTTATTTAAATATAATAATGATAATAAAATTAACTAATTTCATTGAGAATTTATTATTTATCCTCACTTTAGAAAATTTAAATATGTTACCATTGTCAACACAGATCAAATTCAATTATAATTACAATTAGTTTGTAAGATAAATATAAACAATCCATTTTAAAGATAATAAACCAAAAAGAAAATAATACCCAAATCAATCAATTACTCTTAAACGAATTTCAGGATTTCAATAAAATTTTGAGATCTTAGCGTTGCTCAAGGGATCTAAAATCTAAATATAATAATTAATTATATAACTTTTAAAAAATATAAATTAAATATTGTAGTAACTGAAGTTTGGATTGGAAAAAAAAATGGTAATAATAATAATAATATATATGTGTGTATATATATATATATATGGGAGAGGGAGAGGGGTGAACGGTGTCTTTTGGGAGATGGGATGGACGACTAGGATAGGTGTGGTTTGTGAGAGGGAATAGACGGCTGGATGAGTGTAGATGGTGGGATGGGATGGACAACCAGGATGAGTAGTAGGTAGGGTGTAAAAAGGAGGAAGAAAAAGAAAAAAAAAAGAAAAGAAAAAACAGAAGAGGAAAGAAAAGGGAGAACCAGAAAGGGAAGAAGAAGGCTGGTGATAGAAGATTCAAGAGAGAGAGAAGTCGGAGAGGGAAGGGACAAGAAGAGAGAGCGGGGGAAGGAGGAGAAGAGTAAGGCGACGGAGTGAGTTACAGAGGTGCGGAAAACGATGGAGATCGGAGGTATGGTGAATTTAAATTTCAAACATAGGATGATGGTGTAATGCAGATTTGATTTTGCAAATTTTGAAACAATGTCTAGACAGTGAAGGAAATTAAAATAGGAAATAGGTGCTTGATGGTATAGGAGAGCGGAGAGACGTGGTAAGTGACGGAAAGGTTTGATTAGTATTATGAGTGAAGAGAAGTAGAAGAAGCCGTGGGAGGAGAGCTCAATAGGTACGAAAATGTGTTGTCGAGACAGTGTAAGAAACTAGAAGAGGAAGTAGAGGACGGAAGGAATAGGAGAGTGAAGAAAGAATTTCTGTTACTAGAAAGTGGGAGGAGGACGATTGAGTGAAGAGGTGTTAGGGAATCCATGGGGAGAAGAGGTGAACTGGTACGAGAAGGGTGAGTCGGGAGAAACATAATACATACAGGAGAATGGGAGGTGAAATGCCGAGAAAGAGAGGGAGGCAGGAAGGGAGAACGACTGCTGATGGTCGTGTAGGGCACAGAGTGGGTGATAATGATAGAAAGAATAGTGCTATGAGACGAGGAACACAGAGATGAGGGAAGAGAGGGAATGAGAGCGGGAGTGGTTGGAAAGAGTTACAGTTGCAGGTGTGGTGAGGGGTAAACTGAGCGGAAGAGAAAGGGGATTGGGAAGAAGGTTAGACAACAGTGAGCGTGTGCATGTACGGGTTGTGTGTGAGTGTACTTGTGTGTGCTAGTAAATATGCTTGTAAATTTGAAAACTGTATGGAAATGTTAATTGTTTGGCAGTAATTGAAGTTGGAATGAATGGCGTGTGGGTTAAGTATGCATGTATGTGTGGTGTATTGAGTATGGACAGGGTGAGGTTGCATTAGTGGTTGTTGAGATTGGGACGCCGATATTGGTTGTTGTCACTTAAAAAAGGTAAGTCGATCACCAATATTGGTGATGCCTGGGAGTTGTCAGATTGGTAACGAGATGAGTTGCCGATGTTGGTGATGAAAGAAAACAGTAACGGTGTGTGTGTGGGTGGCCAACTAGGGGTCGAGTGGTGGAAAAGAAAAAGGGGTCACCGATATTGGTGACAAATGGGGGGGTAACAATGTGGGTGAGTGGTCAGATTAGGGCCGAGGGGATGGTAGTTATAGTAGAGTTAGATGAGTAGTAGTGGGGGATTGTGGGTTAGAAAAAAAGGTATGACCAATGCAACGGGAGGGGAAAACATAAAAGAATGGGCTTTTAATTAGATTTTCATGCTATATTTGTGATTTAAATTTACTGTACTGAGTTGTATGTACTCATTCCCTATCAATTACACATAAAGTAGGACTGGAGACTGGATCGGAGATGCGGGTTTCTGAACCTAGCGTATAGAGGAAATGGAGCAGAGATTACGACTAGTAAAATAGAATAATTATGTATTTGGTAGCAATGTAACTCATGTTTAAAAATAGGGATTTGTGAAATTCGTACGCTACTATATTGATGAATCTATAGTTGAAAAATTTTTAGAAATTGAGCAATTGGTTTTCAGTATTTTCTTTGTGTATGATTGAATTGGTTGATGGACTGGGATATGTGTGTCCTGCATGTTAAATATGATTGAGATAATGTCGCTGAAGAAAAAAAAATGGGGCGTTACAGTTGGTATCAAAGAAAACTAAGAGAAATACTAATGTACAGAGTGACAGGTTACTCAGATTTTGAACCAGAATGTGTGTTCCCAATGATCGTGTAATACGTGAAAAAGTACTCAGTGAGGCTCATAACACCAAATTTGCCATACATCTAGGGAGTACTAGGATGTACAAGAACTATCAGAAAAGTTTCTGGTGGAGGGGTATGAAAAGAGATGTGGTCGAGTATGTGTCGAGATGTTTGACATGTCAGCAAGTGAAAGCGAAACATCAGAGGCCTAGGGGTTTATTACAACCTTTATCCATACCCGAGTGAAAGTGGGAAGATGTCTCCATAGATTTTGTGACCAGATTGCCAAGGAATCGCAAGAAGCACGATAGTATCTGGGTGGTAATTGATTGTTTAACTTAATCTTTTCTTTCTTAGCAATAAGGGTGACTGATTCGGTGGAACAGTTGGCTAGGTTGTATATCAAGGAAGTGGTAAGATTACACGGTATTCCCGTATCGATTGTTTCAATTCGAGATTTTTGATTCACCTCTAGGTTTGGGGGAAGTTTACAACAGGCATTGGGTACCAAGTTGAGTTTTAGTACAGCTTTTCATCCACAAACGGATGGGTAAACGGAGAGAACTATACAGGTATTGGAGGACATGTTGCAGGCATGTGTTATCGACATAGGGTTCCGATTGGGAAGATATGCTATCTTTGATGGAGTTCACCTATAATAATAGTCACCATACTAGCATCGGGATGGCTCCTTACGAGGCTCTGTACGGTAGGCCTTGCAGATCGCCAGTGTGTTGGGAGGAAGTTGGAAAGAGATAATTTGTTAGGGCCTGAATTAGTGAAAGAAACTACGGTTAAGGTGTCAGTAATACAAAGGAATTTGTAAGATGCCCAAAGTAGACAAAAGGGATACGCAGACAATCGCATGAGAGATTTGAGCTTTAAAGTAGGGGATCATGTGTTTCTAAAGGTATCCCAAATGAAGGGTTTGTTAAGGTTTGGGAAGAAAGGGAAGTTAAGTCCACGCTTCATAGGGCTTTCTGAGATTCTCGAGAAGGTAGGTGGGTATGGTTGTGTACCAGATAACACTTCCTCCTCAGTATAGTGGGGTTCACAATGTATTTCACATATCTATGCTACGAAAATATCACGCGGATATGAAACATATTATACAGTACGAATCGTTGCCATTGGGAAGGATTTAACCTATAAAGAGGAACTGATCTAGGTTCTCGAGCGACAAGAAAGGAAATTGAGAAGGACGATAATACCTATGGTGAAGATACAATGGCAACATCACATAGATGAGGAAGCAGCATGAACACAAAAGGACGAGATGATAAGTATTTATCCGCATCTCTTTGAGTAATATAACGAAATTTGAGGGACCCAATTTATTATAAAGGGAGGAATAATATAGTAACTGAGTTTGGGTTGGAAAAAAAATTAGTAATAATAATAATAATAATAATATATGTATATATGGGAGAGGGAGAGGGGTGAACGGTGTCGTTTGGGAGATGGGATGGACGGCTAGGATAGGTGTGGTTTTTGAAAGGGAATAGACGGTTGGGATGAGTGTAGATGGTGGGATGGGATGGACGGCCAGGATGAGTAGTAGGTGGGGTATAAAAAAGAGGAAGAAAAAGAAAAAAAAAGAAAAAAAAAATAGAAGAGGAAAGAAAAGGGAGAACTGAAAAGGTAAGGAGGAGGCTGGTGATAGAAGATTCGAGAGAGAGAGAAGTCGGAGAGGGAAAGGACGAGAAGAGAGAGCGAGAGAAGGAGGAGATGAGTAAGGCGACGGAGTGAGCTACGGTGGTACGAAAAACAATGGAGACCAGAGGTATGGTGAATTTAAATTT